GAAAAAGGGAAGTACTGTGTATACAATGACAATCAGAATTCCAAGATTTGATTTCCTTCTACAGTGTGGTGAGAGTGAAAATGAAGCTGAAATAATACCAATGAGTGAAGTAATATAGCAATTTAACCTGCAGTTTATTATTTCTTGTAATGTTAATGTATGAGACCACAATGCCTGTGATTTTAGGAATCCAGTGTGTGCACAGCTGAGACTGAGTGGCAGTAGCTGGTATCATAAAATCCAGCCAGGGTCTTAGTAAATACTATTTGTTAGAAGTAGCAATCAATCCTGAAGAATATCAGTAGTGGAGTGTTTGCTGCATTAAGTAACAGATATTTGCCAATACATTATCTTAAACAAGCAAAAGTAGGGTGTGTGTCTGAGATGTCAGTTGCTGAACTAATAGAGTATGTATTTACATACTGTAGTTCTGCATATTGGGACATCTTGGGACAATTTTCTTCATTATTGGGTTACACACAAAGGAAGAAAGTTTCCTGTTTCCCTCTAGAAACCCAGAAATACATTTCTGTAGCACCATGAAAATGTGTTACTCTTTGTGCCTTATTAGTTGTCTGCCTTCTCAACAAAGTCCAGGTAGATAATTTGGATTATGTCATAGTCTTTCTATGGCTCTCTAATGAGCCAACAAACATGCATCACAAGCATGTCATTTTTCATATGCATTTCTACTTATTTAAGGGAGATATTGGGAGGGTAATGGATGGAACACACACATATCTATTTTCAGAAAATGTATTTTTTTCAGGAATGTAAAGGTCTTCTTTCAGAAATCTATTAAGGAAGAAATGTTTTTGTAATGCATTTCATTTACTGTAGCATAACAGTAGTATCCTGTGTTGGGAGGAGGAATCTTACCACAACAGGTGCTTGGTGCTGTCAAGTGTGGAGGGCTCTTTGAACAGCTAAAATAAGAATTCACTAGTGCTACACACGAGGAGGTGTTTAATGAATTTTCAGGTCTGTTTTATTTCTCCATCTGTGACAGTCATTTAATGTGACGACTTTCAAAGTCTTTTGATGAGCGGGATAGAGTGCTCAGGGAGCAGCTGTTGGAGGTTCTGCCTCGGTCGGATCTTTTAGTGGAGTGAGTGTTTGGCAGTGTGGTGAAAACGCTGCTTCGAGGAGCTGTGATGTGATCTCCGCTAATTGCTCTTCATGCTGCTTACTGTCAGCATCTTTCTGGCACACCATGATAAATCATCTGTTCACATACCTTCGAGTTTGCGGTCAGGAAGAGGCACGCTGTCAGCCGTTAATTACGTTATTACAAGCTCTTACAAGCAGCAGTCATTTTCCCATATTTCTTATTTTTGGGGTTTTGCTAGCTGCTGTGCTTACCTAGCTAAAATAACTGGTTATAGTTATTTGGCAAATTAAAGATATTTGCATATTTGCCCTTCTACCACCTGGGCAAAGCCAAATATTATTCAAATATGTTTTGTGCTAAAACTACCCGCTCACTCATGACACAGATACTTTGATTAGATGTTTGCTTCTTGAATCATGTGTTGCCTGGACAGCAAGTAGCCATTAACAGTTATGAACCCAAGGATGGACACAACACTTGTAAGGCACAGACTCACAAATCTATGTGAGTATAGTGTAGAGCAGCTCTAGCGCTGCACTTGGACAGAGAGGGTCATACCATCAGAGATTAGAAGCAATTTTCCAAGAAAAGTTGCAAGCATTCATCTGTAGGGAGATGCAGTTGCCTGTATGTTACAGGAGTAATCCATTCAAAATTCATCTTAAAAAACGCCAACATTCTTTAACAAGGTAAGAAAGTTGTCCCTGTTGAATGTTTCTTTTGGGATTTCACAATCTGTATCTGATTTAAACTGGTATCCAGTTTAAACTGATACATATGCAGCTCTTGAACAGCTTATACCTGTAGTAAAATTAGGAATGTAGTGAGAAATGTGACTTTATCAACTTTTTCATCATGCCAAAAGTGAAAATATAAATGCTGATTGTTGTATTATTATTACTTGTGCTAGTTTAGTCCAGTTTTGGTTTGTGATCTGGATTAAATCAAACCATTCAAATTACAGCCCTGTACTTGATCGTAGCTTTTTAGTGATTGATTCTCCCTTTGGATATCCACCAGTAAATACTGGGTTTGACATTTCTGTCTGAAGGTACAATCAAATCTTAACCCTTGTCTGTAAGTTTTACATGATTATTTACCTTGCATTTAGCTAAAAATAGCACAATAGACCTTTTTTACAAGCACTACAAAACAAACATCTCTTTGTGGAAAAGAAGTACAACTTTTTAAAATTTTAAAATCTAAATATTTACCACTGACATATGGCACACAAATTAAGGGAAGCAGGCTGACTCATGCGTACTCACATTTCACTTTAGTCATGCCTACAGCGCTCCTGTATCAGATTGCAGTATGATCTCTAAGCCCATCAATCCTGTGAATAGGTCATACTAGATACAGACTTGTATATACTGTATGGCAATTTTGGAGCTCAATGCACTGAGCAGTTACAAAGAGACAACTTAAACTGGACCTGGTTCAAGATTCTTCAGAGCCATTTATTTCTTCAGAATCAGCAGTGCAATAAACCAGAGAAAGCAAGTTTCAACTACATGAAGCCTTTCTTTATTCAATGGGATACGGGGGGAATGGGGGGTATGGAACAAGTTACCCAACTGTGTTGTTGAAGGCTAAACCCTGGTTTCTTTGAAGTAAAGAAAATAGATAAGATCCTTGGATCAACGGGCTAGGAGGGCTGAATGGCTTCCTCTCATTTAGCCTTTCGTCTGTTCTTATATTCATTTTCCTAGCCTTATAGTGGTTATAGATTACTGTAAAGGCCAAAAGGGGGGAACAATGCCAATATCATGACAGAAATATCATATTCACTGTCATTGTACTATTTCTGATTTGTGTTTCCCTTAAACAATGGGTTCACCTGTTGCATTCCGTAACAGTTTTAGAATGAGATTCACTCTCCTCCAGATAAAGAGAACTGGATCATTATCACTCATTGATATCTAGGCTTTTCATATCATGTTCCAAGGTAATATTCATTTGGTAAAATTGACTCCTCTTTTCAAATGTGTGGGAGCACAATAAGTAGAGGAATTACTCAGTGTAACTGACTCCCTGGCTGTGTGTTTACTGTACGTTCTCATGTTATGGGTGATACTGGTAGAAAGTATGAATTTGTTTCTGTATTAACAGTGATGGTCTCCTGGATTAATTTAATTTAATTTTGTCTGATGAAGGTTCTTCACTGCTATGAATGGGCAAGTTGAAAATAAGGGCTGTTTTATTTTTCAGAAGTTGATTGTTCTCATTAGAAGACATTAAACACATTACCCACCATGTTGACAATGTTTCAGTTTTTTGGATTCAGCTAGAAACATAGCTGCAGGTTATTCCTAAGAGTAACATAAGCTCTAAGGAAGGAAAGCAGACTCTTCATCACCAACAGCAAGTGGTGTTGTGGCTAATTTATCATTGTTTTCTTTCTTATTCAACATTTTTGTCTTTAGTACCACCTCTCTAGGAGATTATTATTACAGTCCTATTGAGAAAGTAGCTGTTGAACACACATTCCCAGCTGGCTCATTGAAAACAAAGTTGGTGTTTGTAGATGTGTGTAGTAGTAGATCTTCAGGCAGTGCTCTGAATGCCATTACTCATGAATGGGCCTGAGGATGAGGTGACTTAAATTAACTGAGGCTTCTGTCATTGCAGACATCTTTTCACACAAGCAGAAAAAATTCAGCAAACATATTTTCGGATTGAGACCAAGGATATTTACTAAATTATTCTTCTGTTGACAGTGCACTTCACTCAGTTACATTGTAGGGATAAGAAGGGTTTTCTACACTGTAATGGGCTCGTGGATTGATCACATTCCAAAGTGTATACCATTGCCAGCTGAGTACGCTTGTGTTTTGTTAGATCATAGATCTTTCCAAGCTTAAAATTCTAGCCCTGCTGTGAGTTAATTGACCCTTTCGCAGTATTTTCTGAGGTGCAAACCTTGTATGAATGGAGAAGAATGAAGGGATGACTAGGATAAATAAAAACCTGTAAGAAAAATTGATAGGCTGTCAAAAAATATGCATCTACAAAGGGTACAGAAAAGGCAGGGGATCAATGGAAAGAAGCCATTGTAAATGTGAAAATGAACGCAATTCATTAACATTAGACTCACATCTGAGCACTGGGAGAAAACCCACATAGACATTTGTTGAACATGCTCCAAACTGAACCTGCCTGAGAGGGAGAGAGAAAGATTCCAACTGAGTGACCAAATGAGTGACACAGTTGTGACCTGGAGCTTGTCTCAGAATATACCCATGAGTTTGTGGAAGAGTCTCAGAAAGAGACTTTGTTTGGAGCCTGTAAGCACCTTAGCTGCCCAAGAAAGGGACCTAAAAAAGTCTAATAAGAAGCTCAAAGAGGAATGTAGGCTTTTTTTTGTGTGTTGTTTAGTTTTCCTTGCACTGTCAATAAAAGAGCACTTTTCGGTTTACCTTTTTGCTGCTTTGTCTGTTTGCTTCACCTAGACCTGCCTAATGTCCTAATTAAGGTGGGTAGCTGTGTCAGCATGCGTAGGCTGCAAAGGAACAAGTAATAGGTTCATTCAATGCTGAAAAGAGAAGAAAGAAAACACAACGTTTCGGCCGTGGAGCCTTCTTCAGGTGTGAGAAAGACAGGGCAGGAAGCAAAGGTAATGTAGCTGGAGAACAATGTCCTAATTAAGACAGACTAGCAGACTGTCAAACAGTTAACAGTCAAACCAGCTTCTGACGAACTTTAGCGCACTGATTGGGAGGTGCAGATGTATGTTTAAGATGCAAATTTGAAATAAGAAATGCCAGAATTACCTTTTCACCTGAATAATTTTTTTTTTGTTTTATTGAACAAATCACTCTGAACACTTTGTTCAGATCCTTCATGGAAATATCAATTTACAGCATATGGTAAAAAAACACTTAGGAAGTACAAGTACCAGATGTTTATTGTTTTGTACAATCAAATTTACAAATATTTACCTTGGCAAAAAAGTTCCAGAACTTTACAGTCTAATACTGTCAACTGTCTATGTACAGTAGTGTACAATACAAGGTGCAGCACAAATTTCGCTTCATGACTGATATGTATTAACATTATATTTCTATCCTTTATTGAAACACCAACAAACATGTTTAATAAAACAACTCAGGTGTGGTTTGGACAATTGAACATGTCTGCTTTGTCCTCAGGCTTTCTGCTAGCCTGCCTCTTACTCCTTGTGTTAGTGTTGTCGTGCCGTTCAGGACCAGAGTTCCTTCCCCCTGGGACCCTGGTACTGAGAGAGGGAGAAATAAGGAAATAAAACATCAAAGAAAGAAAACCTATGTTAAAAACTTCAAGGTTTGCTTCTGCATGACTCCCTTTGAAAAAAGGTTTTCTTGCTGTTCATGAAATAAGAATGGCCAAGTGAAAAACTGTCACGCCGATCTATGAAAGATTTGCATGGTTACCGTTGACCAGTTAAAAAAATGAAATTGCGAGTCCTCGGGAGATCCTTTCATCTAACAGGCAAGCTTGTGTTCTTTCTGTCATGTGTGTCCCTTGTGGTGGAGCTGAAAGCCAAGAGACCAGTGGACTTTCCATGACCCAGTCCTACAAATGCCAAGCAAGCACATGCAGTGTCAGGAAAATAAACAAAGAGGGTTAATTATGAGTCAGGGCCTTCCAGGATTAGGTGCCTTTTCATTGTGGAATGTACTGTGCCCTTGGAGAGCTAGAAGGAGTGATACTAAGTATACATTCATCTATGTGTGTACCTTGCAATAAACCTTCACCTTTATGAATACTGTTTTCCCCTCCATGTTCCAATCTCAGGCATTAAGTCTTCTCAGAAAATCAGTTAAACCTTCCATAAAAGTATTGCATTAAACATCTGTAATTGCTACTGTACAGAGATGAAACTAAAGAGTTGGGTTGCAGGCTTCATGTAGTTAGTGCTTTAAGGTATATACAACAACTACTGTTTTTTACAATGAATTTTACTGAAAGTGAATGTGCCCCAAGACGTATGGTCAGCTTAAATTACTGGGCTGAACGGAAAGTGTGAGTTTATTAAATGTATGTATAATTACATAAAAAAACAATTATGTTATCCTGGCCATCATATTACTCTGTTGATCATAAATAAAAATGCAAATACAATAGTTTTGACATTCAGTACATAGACCGGAGATTTGCCTACCTGGTTCTTGGTGGCCTGGAGAGTTTACAGGATTTCAGTCCTTCAGTCTTCAGGTGCTGCTGTTTTAAAGGCACGTAGGATTCCTGTAAACACACAGGGAGCTGTTTTAGTTGGAAAAATCGAACATTTTCGGCCACATTTCCATCTGGTGTTTTTTAAATGAAAAGGGCTTTTTTATTTTGCTTTCACTTCAAACATACTATTTAAAATTATAACATACATTTAGTTTTGTTTATAGCATACAGCACATTCAAGAACCTCAAGGTCAACATCATTCACTACTGTAGTGAACTCAGTTCAGTCGTTCATCTTTAATAGAGGCTGACTTAAAGCACATTTTATGATAGGGAATATTTTCAGAAAACTCCCCACATAATACAGAATAATACAGAACAAACAAGTGAATCACTTACTTTAAAGGTAAATTTGGAAAGTATCAGATAATCCAGATTGAATTGGAAATCATTGACCTGGCAAACTGTGACATTAGGATTCAATGAAGAAACACTCTGGAAAGGAAGAGTAATCATTTCGTGGTAGATAATTAAATGTATTAATCAATGATTTCTCAGTGGACACTGCTCATGCTGCAGCCAACTGAATTGAGGAACTGGACTTTAATTTCCTCAAAGGTGTTCTCCAGCCGTCCTCAGATTTTTTTAAATATGAACACAGCATGAACTGCAAGAACTGAAAATAAGATTAAAGATTAACAAAAGTATTGAAATGATCTAGCTAATTGAACGGTAAGCTTCCAATATTAATAAACCTTTATACTACTCTATGTCAAATAAAACATCCAGAAGAAAGGTAACAGAGAGGAGGCCATCTGGCCCACCTAACCCATAGAGTATTGAGGAGCTCACTAAATCATATATCTTATACAGTTGTTTTTTAAAGAAAACCAGGATATTGGCTTCAACAACTTGGCAGTTCCACACTCCCCTATCCTCTTAAATTCTTCTTGTTCACAATTTTAAATGTATTTCCACATAGATTCCACTTGTGTCCTCCGTTTGAAGACCTTCATTCATTCTGAAGCGGTCCACTGGGTTGACTTTGTCAAGGTCTTTGAGGATTATGAATACCTGGAACAGGTTAAGAAGACAGTCTCATAGTCTTCTCTGTTCAAGATGAAAAATGTTCAGTTCTTTTATCTTTTCTTTTCATCCCTTTAAGTCTGGCAATATGTGTTTTTCTCCCTTCAAAATGAAAGCACTTATTGTCTATGCCTCCATCTTGTTAGCTCAACAGCTGAAGCATGAGCACTGTACACTGAGACTACCTGCCCCACAAAAACAGACAAATCCTTGCTGCCTTCCCTCCCCTGGTGCCAAATGTGAACTGTTCTGCTTCGCTTTTACATCTGTCATCCCCTCTTGCAATTAATAACAGTATAATAACATGGTTTCATACAGTTCTATCCATAACTGTCTCCAATTCACTACGGAGTTTGTCCTCTGCACCACACCTACAAACCAACCACAATTCAAAGCACCTCTGGCCACCATTCATCATTACACTCGCTGCGGTCAACATGGGTCAGCTACAAATAATTGTGTTTGAACTATAGAAAGAAAGTACATGATATATGAGCTATGGAACTGAGACTAAAATTACTATGTACAGGAATAATCAAAGCTACAGGGCTTAATTTAAGATGGTGCCACATTGCAGAAAGTCCACATGATGTTCTGCATCCATCAATTTTTAAAATAGCATATTTATAGCTGTGGTAGGAATTAACTCCCAGAAGAGGCTTTATGGTTGCCTTTCTAACAATGTTTAAATGAATTGCATTATGAATCTATTCTGTATATTGAGTGCTTTCACAATGATTGAAATCATTAGAAAGAACAAGCCTTAAAGGCACCATAGAGCATTCATAATTTTTTTGCTTCTTTGATTTAAAGCATTCAGAGTATTACATGTATATTTGCAAATATTAAAACATTCTCAAGGAAGTTAAAAGCCAGTTTAAACAATGATATAATGTTGATATTTGACAAAACTGGGAATCCATTCATTAATGGATATGTAAGCTACATAAAATTAATATCCACCACAAAAAGACATAATGTGAACAGAAAATTCTAACAAATTTCTTTTATTGTTCTACCATCTTATTCTAAAAAAAACAAAATAAATTGCTTGGAATAAACACTTTTATCTTTGTGTTTTGAAAAGCTGGTAGTTTTAAACTTGGAATGTACTAGGTAACATAAACCATGTGTGAATGTGCACTGCCCCTGGTGTGTCTGTTTCTCTGAGGCCTTACATGATCATGGTAGATTATAACCCTGCAAATTGCTATCATCAGCTGAGCTCCGTGAGCTGTAGTTTGCTCTCAAACATCTGTCTTCTTCTCAAGAGTATCTTGGTCATGTGTTTGTACTTTCCTGAAGTACAAACAGATCATGTTTGGTACACTTACAACATACAGAGAATTCTGAGCCAAGTGGGATTGTTTTGTTTCTTTATGCCAAAGATTCTGAGTAACTCTTACCATTTAATAAAGCTATCATTATAAAAGAAATCAGAAAAACAACCTTTAATAAAGCACTTTAGAAGTATTATTTCTTTCCTCCCAAAAACATTACAGAAGTGAACCTTTAATACTTACCACTTATGCCTTGCTTAGGAATCTTAACATATAATATAAGAACCATACATAAATATAAAGAGCTGAACATGTTCATGTTTTGCTATGCTTTCACAGTTCAATACGAAATCTTTCTTCTTGCAAAATCTTCTCCTTACCAACGTTTACTTTTGATCCAGATTAATCATGACATTTTTTTAAACAGTGGTGTCACGTAATTGGCTCTTGAAGCGGGTCTCTCTGACACTGTTTGGGACCTATTTGAGGAATGCCAAAACAGAACGTCTTGGGGCAGATATTGTGCGAAACGAACATAAACTGCCAAGACTCCTGAGTGATTCAGAAGGAGTCAGCAGGACATCGCACACATTTCTACGGACAGAAGGAACTATTATAAACAGTGACTGTTGTGTTAAAATAATACAATGTACGGAGATGAAATTCTGACAAGTGATTATTGTGTAAAGCAGCAGTTAGTATAATAAAGGAAGTAATGGACAGAAAACCAGGCATAAAAGGAAACTTGCCAAAGTAAAGAAAGCTAGTGGTACTGAAAATTAAACATTTCACCTTCAACATACTTTATTTTTGAATAGTATGTCTGCTTCTTTAACTTTCTGATCCAAAATTTTATAGTAGTATTTTGAATAATAAATACCATTCTGCTATTATTGTCTTGAGGTCCAATGATAATGAGTATGATATTTTCAGAGCAGTTCATATGTATTTAATGTACAGTACTTCTGCTAGAAACAGAACACTTTATTTTCTGCAGTCAGTCTTTTTTTCCAAAGTTTCCCCCTGAGCCTTAGTTTTGATGGATTAAAGTTGTACAAAGGTTTCCCAGCCCATGAACAGTACACAAAGTTACTATGCTCTGACTGCAGTTGTTGTGCCTTTTGGGGATCTTCAGAGAGCTGATGACTAGATACTTAAAAGCTCCTTGTCATCCAGACACACATCAGTCATAGATCTTAGCCCAGGCCAGTTAGGGAGAAAGGCCAGTGCATTAACTTTTCCACTTCTTCTTCACAGTTGTACCAGACAGCCTTGAGTGACAGGACGTCTCTCTGATGTAACCGAATAGGCCCCTCATCATAGTAAGTACAGAGGAAACCAGTCTGCTTTGCTTGCAGCGGCTCCTAAAGGACAGAAGGTCAGCACCTCAAGAGTCTTAAGCAGAAAAAGAACTCAGCTGAAAAAAAAGATTAAAGTTTGTTTTTGTTGACCCAGAAAGTATCAATCAAATAACTTCCACTTGACGGGCCTTGATGACAGAACTCCGTAGATTGAAATAAAAACAACCCACAACAAATAAAACAAAGATAAATACTGTATGTGTACACACCACTGTTTATCCACATCTTATTGTTTTCTTGAATTATCTCCCCTTGTCAACTCAACAGGCTGCATGTAATGAAAAGTTTTCAATTTTCCATTTTCTTGCACTCAAACTCGCAAGTACAGGAATGTGTCAGTGCGTGCTTCACACTTATGCCCTTTTCCAGTACTGATTGAAAAGGAATGTGACACAGCATACAGTATGCCAGATTTTAAATTTCCAGGTCACAATTATCAATTTCCCACTGCTATCACTTATTATGTCAACTATGTTTAGTGAGATTACGTTTCTGAAGGTCACAAACGCAGAATAATAATTCATTTTAATCTATCGCTGCACCTTATGATAAAATTCCAATATGCTGTGGTATGCTTATTACAAAATCCTACAAACAAGCCCAAGGGATCCCATAAAAAACAGGTCACATTGGCAATGCACCAATGTACTGAAACGTGATAACACAATGTCAACAATAGTGTTTTTGCTTTCATTTTGGCTGATGTTGTCTGTCATCACTTCCAATTGTATGGCACGCTATCTGGAATACATACCCAGTATCCTCTCTCCTAGTTGTGTCCTTATCACTGATGAAAACTATTTCAGACCATTAAGCTGATACACTAACTTCTGTTCAGCAGCACTGCCTTCCAAGACAAAGCAAGGAGAAAGTGTTTACATTTTCACATATTTAAGCTGCTTTTATCACATTTTAAAGGTTTAAAGTGCCTTAACTTGTCATACTATTCCAAATGTAATGTTTACTCTAGTCCTCTGTGTGTTAAATCTCCAGTTTATCTAAAACAAATAAAAACACTTCTTAATGCTTTTATGGCTCTATGACCTGAATTTGGTAGTGTAGATGAGATAAGAAGATATATTTTGTGTACTAGAAGAGTGATAATATATTTTTTGTAGAGGGAACAAAAACATCATCCTACAGTAAACCACTCCAATCCCACCTATATCTCTGTGCTCATGATCAACTTTAAAAACGGATAATTAAAGTTCTTAGGTCCTCCTGGACTCTGAATAGACAGCATGATCATGTTAACTTATTGAAGTGTCTCTTGGCTAGAAGCTTTAGATACATGTCAGCTGGTGTTCTGCTGTAAATGCTCATGATGCTCCCAGTAAGCGCTCCATTTCAGAAGAGTCTCAGCTGTATTTAAAGAGAATATTGCAGACTGTCACACTGCCATCTGTCATATAGGAGCTTATTATCAACTAAGCCTGGGGCTAGTGTGCAAAACCGAGGTGAACAACCCTCCAGGAGAAAAAGTAAAGGTGCTCGATCAGTT